ATTTATTCATATCTACTGTCAGATATATAACGCAGTACACAGGCTCATACAAATGCCATTATTCCTGAAGAAATACAATCTCTACTTTTCCCTCAAAATATTCTGCTGACAGCCTGGTTTACTCAGCATTCATAACTGAGTTGAAAGTAATGTTCTATTTGATGAAAAATATTCAGCAATAAGTTAATTTTTGACTATTGCCCAGTGAAAAGCAAACATGGAATTATATCGGTCCATCAATAAATCCATGGACTAAAGATGAAAATTTTCTGTCCGAATTTCTGGGAGGAGGAGTTATTATTTACACTATCTATATTCAGACTATTGTCCTCATCTTTGTTGTTTTTATCATAACGTTTCAGCCATTGTGACCTCTGACCTTCTGCAGGTGTATATTGATCTGGGTAAGCTACCATGAATTCTGACCTGAACCCTTTATTTAATCTGCAGGAGTAGACTGTTCTTGTACCAGATTGATACACACCTGAGGAAGTCTGGAGAGTACAATGGCCGAAATGTTGTGATAACAACAACAGAGATGAGGACAATAGTCCTAACATAAATTGCGTAAATAATGAAAAGGCATTTATTTTGTCATCGACATACACACGCTCAACTCATCCTCATTCCCTATATAATTCAATTGGTAAGGAAGAAATTACATTTAGATAGCTTCTTCTTGCAGACTCCCAAGAGGATGCTTCCCTAATCAGTACAAACTTAAACTTGAAGTCTAGGTTCAGCCTTATCTATCCTACATATACTCATATGTACTTTTTATATTCTTCTCTTACACACTTATAATAATCTCATTCAGTAGCACTCTACTGGGGATCTTGGACCTTATATCAGTTGACCTTTTATTAAGTAAAACATAGATTTTTCAACATAATCTTCTTCTTTGTCAATGCACTTAATCTAACACTTCTCCATTAATCATATTCATTAAATACTATACAGTTGAAATTTCATATGAAAATTCAACTTTAGGCTATGGAATTAACAATCCACTTTCAAAACTTACTTGATGAGTAGAGGATTTACATTCAAAATAGATTGCAGATTCCTCTTCTAATTCTGTGTCACTTCAGGATATGTGTGATCATGGCTCTCCACAATTTCCTGTCGTTTGGTGCTCTTAATAAATTTTGTTTTTTTGTTATCTCTCCTAAATCTTTTACACAAATAACTTCTTCTTCTCCTTGCTGTATCCCTTCAGGACACAGATGATCATGATTCCCTACAATTTCCTGTCCTTTGTAGCTCTAAGTATATTTTGTCGTTTATTAACTCTCCTAATCCCTGTTTTGCATAGCATTTAGACAAGTTTGTTCTACTTCTTCTATTTGCTGTCTCTTTAGAACATGGGCAATCATGACTCTCCACAATTTTCTGCCTTTTGTAGATCTTAATAAATTTTATCTTTTTGCTGTTTCTCCTAATCTCTGTTCAGTCAACCATTTACACAAACTTATACTTCTTCTTCTATGGAATCCTAGCTCTCCACAATTTCTTGCCTTTTTTAGCTCTGAGTAAATTTTGGCTTTTTGCTATCTTTCCTAAACCCTTTTTTACCAACCATTTACATGACATGGCTCTCTACAATTTCCTCTCTTTTGTAGCTCTTAGTAAATTGTGTCTTTTGTTAACTCTCCTAATCCCTGTTTAGCCAACCATTTACTCAAGCTCATTAGTCTTCTATGTCTAATGTCACTTCAGAATGTGTGATTATGGCTCACCACAATTTTCTGTTTTTTTAGCTCTTAATAAAGTTTGTCATTTTGCTATCTTTCCCAAACCCTGTTCTGACAATCATTTATATCATTTGATTCTTCTTCTATGTGCTGTGTCCCTTCAGGATGTGGGCAATCATGGCTCTCCATAGTTTCCTGTTGTTTTTAGTTCTTAATAAATGTGTTTTTTTCATAACTCTCCTAACACCTTTTTTGCCAACCATTTATACAAACTTATCTTACTTCTGTTTGCCATGTCCATTCAGGACATGAGCAATCATGGCTCTCCACAATTTCTTCACCTTTATAAATATTTCTGCTAACTCTCCTAATCCCTGTTTTGCCAACCATTTACTCATCCAATGTGATAGGTCCTGATCTGGTATCTAGTCTACATTCACTTTCCCACAGACGTGCCGGGGCTTCCCTCTGTCTCTTCTACAAGTATTTTCAAAGCAACTGTTCTGATGGAGCTACTTTTGATGGTAAAAAACAGTTAAATGTAACTGTCTCTTCTACTCAAACAGCTTCTTCTCTTGCACTTCCTGTCTGTGGAACTCCCTTGCAAATTACAAATTAGAGACAACAAAATCATCCAAGAACAAAAATTTAACTATCTGGGAACTTCTTGTCTGTAGAACTCCCTTCTCTTTACTTGCTTCCCTGATGACTGTAATCTTCAAATATTCAAGTGTAATGTCAATTGACATCTGACACTCTGAGTTTGTTCCCCATCCTTCTCTGTATCCTTTCCTCAAACACGCCTCTTTACTCTTGTTCTCAATCCTCTGTAAGCCCTTACGAGCTAGTGGCACTCCCACCTTCCTTGGGGTGAATTGTTTTAAAAAAAAACAAAAAAAAAAACTGTTCATTATTATAGATGCTAACAGAATAATTGGTAAGAAATATTTCTGGGGAAATTTGTGAAATAAACAGCTCACTGATAATTTTACTGATTTTGTTTATATAGATAGAACAGGTAAATTCGTAACTGATTTAAATAATGTATTTGATATCTATGCATATATTTTATGGTGATGATACAACTCAGTCATCATCACAGCGGAAAAACAATAACAAAAGCAAGGAAGCCAACTTTTCACTTGACATCTTGCAGTAAGAACATTAGAAAAGTATACTTTGCTAATTTTTCATGGAATATTTTAAGAAAAAATGAATAGAAAGGATGTTGAAATGTTGTCAGGAGAAAAAGAATGAATATATATATATATATATATATATATACACACACACACACACACACAAACACACATATATATATATTATTTTATTATAGACACATAATGTGTGTGTGTGTGTGTGTGAATATGTACAATTGTGTGTCGATATATATACATGCATACACAAAGTAAGTTGCGCCAATGGCATTACTAACTACATTTTAAAAAAATATTTCTAATATGGTAACCTTTTTAGTACATCTGTAATTCAAATTAAAATGAATATTTATTGCTATAGGGCAAACTACTTCTGTTAATAAATTTTGGATTTTTAATCAAAAATTTCTTAAACTTGGTTAAGATAAAATAAATCAGGAAAAAAAGCTGATTTAAAACATGTCTGACATTTTGATGTAACACATCATTACGAGTCAAAGATTTATTCAAACATGTATTCTGGACATGATAAAAGAAAAATAAAACACTTAGCTTAAAATAATATCAAAATGGAAATAAAACTAATCATTTATCTTGATAATGTCTGGAATAATGCAGTTAGTTTCTCCATTTCAATAACTGCTGTTGGCTGAAGCATCAGCAAGAGTTGAATGAAAAAAATTGTTTTATTGCTTGAAAATAGATTGTTACCGACAGTAAGACTTCAAAAAGCCAATTACTTGGTAGATATGAAAAATAATTTTTAGAGAAGGCAGTGTGTTGTGTTTCCAGATAGACAGGTTCAATTTGTCCAGCTAAACAACTGCATTTGTTTACAAGTGAATCCTTTAATACAAAATGTAACTGACCACTGATCTCAATGAAAAATGAAAAGCTTCACACTGATATCCTTTTGGGATTACATGTAAAAACTAAAAACAAATATATCTCTAAAAAGCAAAATGGATAAAGAAAATACATTTTAAAGAAACACACAAGCACTTTTCAAGCAGAAACAACAATTTGGAACAAACTCAAGGAAATGATAAAGGAACACATGGTGTCTTAGAGGAAAATTTCAGAGTTATTTGGGAGCAAATATCTACCATGTTGCCTTATAGACCAACAATAGCTAAAATAGTAGTTTGTATACCATAATGTGGTAGCAGGCTCACAGAAAAATACAGTTAAACACATGTATGCATCTGACCTGTGATGGAACAAATACATTGAATCAATAGCTTCATCTACCACAAGGCAAGTTGGTTCTCTGTGTCAGCACCCGAGTCCATCCTTCAAATCTATAAATCAACCATTCACCCTTGCATGGAATACTGCTGCCATATATGGTCTGGAGCCCCACTGTTCATCTTAAGGTCCTCGACAAAATCCAGAGATATATATGTAATGTGATTGGCCCTGATCTGGCATCTTGTTTACAGTCGCTCTCTCACAGATGTGCCATTGCTTCCCTCTGTTTTTTCTACAAGTACTTTCAGGGTAACTCCTCTGACAAGCTATTTTTGCTGGTTCCCAAACTGCATGAATTTAAACATGCTACTAGGTTAGCAGGTCATCTTACCCTTTCACTATTGAAATGGTTAAATGTAGCTGTCTCTTCTATTCCAATAGCTTCATATCTCACACTTCACATCTGTGGAACTCCCTTCCTCTTACTTGCTTCTCTGATAGCTATAATCTCCAAATATTGAAATGCAATGTCAATCGACATCTCCAGATGCCTTAACCTATTCCCCATCCTTCTCTTTATCCTTTCTCCAAACACCCGTCTTTACTCCTGTTCACGCTCTGTAACCCCTTGCATGCTAGTGGCACTCCCACCTTGCTTGGGTTGAAATTCTTAAAAAAAAAAAAAAGTAATAAATGATTGATTGTTTTTTATGGCGTATCCACTTTTTGAAGGTTATTTAAAGCCAGAAATATTTTTAGATTGTAATAATTTTTTTGATGATGATAATAATGATTTACTGATACAGGCCCTACTAATTAACCCATAGCTGGTGGGAGAAGAGTTGGATTTATGCCTTTCCCAAGGGAATTTGCATGTAAGTGAATATAATAAACCTGATTGAAATTGGAACTTAGCTCTCCAATATCCAATTCCAAGCCATTGTCCATTACACCAAGCTCACAGCACCTGGTATTCCCAAGTAGTTGCCCATCTAGGTACTGACCAGGCTCAATGTTGCTTAACTTTGGTGATCATATGAGAATTGGTGTTTCAATGTGACATGTCCATAAGACTTGTGATAAATGTCTATTTTTATATTTTATGAACATTAAAAATTATCCTCATAATTTTAATGTTGTAACTGATGCTATCATACAGGCCCTACTAATTAACCCATAGCTGGTGGGAGAAGAGTTGGATTCATGTAGCAAGTAAGTAGCAAGGTCTCTAAGCCTGCTAACACATATACTGGGGCACTCAGGAATTGTTCACCTATTGGCCATTGGAATATACAGAATATATGGGGAAGCAGGCTAAACATTTCCACTTTGCGGTTGACTGATATAGAGGCACATGCTTGGAATCAGACAAAGACAAGTAAATGTAACCTATTAAGGCTATCCAAGCAGAAAGTGAAATGGCAAGCTATTGGATCTTACTCAAAAGAAAGGATGAAAGTTGGCTAGAGAAATGATCCCTGGAAGAATGTAAAGTAGTTGACAGGCACTAAACCAGTTGAAGCAGATGGTGTGTCTTCACATCTGGGAGGACCTGGTGTGCAGGGAAATCTGTTAAAAGTCATGTTCTGAAACAGAGCACAGTCTCTTCTGATTACCCCAAAAATGTTCTGGTATCTAGCACACAGATATTGACAACATTAGGAATAACAAGCAGTTCCCGAATTCCTTGCTACATTGTCAGCCCAACAAACATGCAAGATTTTAGGTGATCTTTTACTCACTATTTAGAATTCATAACTTGAAAAGCTGTGTTTAAGTTCTAAATTAAATGTCTACTCACACAAAGGTAAAATAATACACTACAAAAGGATGCTAGTAAGTTCTCAACTTGACCAAGAAGCAATTAAAAAAGGTATATTTGGTGAGTCAAAATGAGAAATTCTCAGCACCCGTTCATAAGAAAAGCTCAAGATTTTACCTAATCAAGGTTCAAAGTATGAAATATGATGACATCTTTTACATACCCCACTTTAAGTGATGTCTATTCTATAATAATTATATAGCAATGACATCCTTTCAGAATAAATGAAAGCTCATTATTGATAAAACAAAAGATTAATTTGTTAATTCTTCTTTCTTTTGGCAACATCTAGACTTACTGGTACAAAGCCAGGTTCATCTCCTTTACTCACTATTAGTTGTGCTTTCCTTTGTAAATAGCTATAATGACTGCTACCAAGAAATACATTATACTTTGTAAGTTGTATCAAACACTCATTCTCACAATGCAAACAAACTTCTTAAATCCACTTTTATTAACAGATTTTTTTTCAATTGCAAACACTGTAGAGATGTAATTAGAACATTTTTAATTATTACCAAAATTCTCAAAAACTAGAATAATGAAAATTGTACAAGCAATATCATAAAATTAGTGAAGACATATTTATTGTAGTGATCATGTTTACAGAAAAGTGAGAAAAACCTCAGTGTAAAGAAATAAAATTTGTTTCTAATATTTTAAAAGAAATTCAAGTCCTTTAATTCATAATGTATTAACCCTTTTCAAATGGACCAGCTGGATTTAATAAAACCAATTGGCTGTAGAGGGATACACTCTATTGAATCAACACAGATAAAATGGCAACTTCTTTGCAGTGGTATTGTGCTTCAAAATTATTTATGTTTTATGATTTTTTTATCAATAAATGATTGAATTTCGATATCATAACAATTAGCCTTATGAATGCCCAGGAAGTTTTGTAAATCATTCTTGACTCTGATGATGAGTTTCAAGTGGGGGGGAAAATAGATGAATTTAGTTCTAATAGTGACTCAGACTTTGACAGCACTAGCAATAGGTTAAATGCATATAGTGTTGCAACTTATTAAGCTTAACTTAGATTTAATACAAGGTTACATGTATGGGACACTCAGTAAAGATCCAGTGTACTACACAGTAGTAACTGTCAACCAAAGTAGCTTACAAGTCATTAATCTATGTCAAGGTACACTAAGTGTATGTACTATTAAACCAACGTATACTAACTAGAAATATCCATTAAAAACATCATGGTTTTTATATTTTCATTTTCTGATTGCAAGGTCCATGACTAAAAATTACCCATAGAAATCCCCAATAGCATTGTTAAATGTTTGGATTTAATAAAACATAAATGCAGATCATTATTTAAAGAATAGGATACAAAATGAAAATATTTGAAACTGACAAGTTTTTCCATTTCACTGAAGCAAACATTAAACACATAAGAGTGAGCAAAGAAATCTTCCTTTACCTGTTAAGATCCCAGCTATGGGTAAATAGTTAACTCCCAAATTAGGTTTGGTTTGTTTGTTTTATGACATATCAACCTCAATGGATCATTTAATGCCAACAACTTTTTTTCCTGGTAATATTTTTTCCCTCAAAAATGTATAGCTGGTAATATTATTTTAAAAAATGTATTGCTGGTAATATTTTTTTTTCAAAAATGTATTGCTGGTAATAATTTTTTTTTCTTCAAAAATTTATTTCTGGTAATAATATTTTACAAAGTATTTCTGGTATTAAAACCTATTTTCACACTTTCATAAGGCTTTTTATCTCAGTTTCGGGGTTAACTATTTGCCAATAGCTGGGACCCTAACAGGTGCTACCACCCCGGGTCAGGGTGGACCTGGGAACACCAGCAATTAAAAGGTGGTTCCATGCTCCTCAAAGCCTCCTGATCAGAGGCCTTGCTGTTGGACGTCGTTTATTGTCTTACCCTGACACGGATGTAGTTTATCGTCATATCCAGGACGGTCCCAAACTAGGGTCAAAACACTATGAAAGTGTAAAAATAGGTCTTAATACCAGAAATACTTTGTAAAAAGTCATTACCAGGAATAAATTTTTTGAAAATACATTATTACCAGCAATACATTTTAGGCAAAAGAATACTACTAGCAATACATGTTTGATAAAAACTATTACCAACAACAAAAATTTTCAGCATTAAACAACCCATTGAAGTTGATATGCCGTAAACCAAACAAAATGTGAAACACAATGAGAATTGGAACTCTGATTAACAATTCTGTGCCATTATACATTACTCTACCTGCACATGCAAGCATACAGTACCTGGTATTCCCAATAGGTCACCTATCTAGGTGCTAACCAGGTTTGACATTGCTTAACTTTGATGATCATACAAGAACTAATGTTTTAACATGATATAACTGTAAGTCTATTTGAAATGAGAAAAGTACCAAAACCTCAGTTAACAAAGTATCAGAATTACATTTGTAGTTGTATAAAATTTCTAAGCTATTAATTGGTGTTTTTCTGATCACCCATCTAGGTACTGACCAGGTTTGATATTGCTTAACTTCAGTTATTTTATGGGAACTGGTGTTTCAAAATGATGTAGTCATATACTAAATATTCATCTGTAGAAGTGCATCTACCACAAAGCCTCAGTGTAATCCTACCAAAGTATATATGGTATAGAGCAGTTAACTTGTCTAGATAGCTCCTAAATTGAATTTAAATATGAATTACATTAAGAGTAATGGAATTTAGAAACAAATTCAGTGTGGAAAGGGTTAATAATAACTGTTTTTCTCTTGGAAAATAGAATGTAAATAACTGAAGCAAAGAAGATTGCTTGAAGTTGTCGATTAGGTGTTGTTATTTCTTGAATCAATTTATTAACTTTTTTTTTTTTTCCCCAAGATATTTCTCAAGTCTTCTTTTGCAATCTGTGAAGAGAATCTGAATTTTGATGTGTGTAGAAAATGGTAGGTTCTAGTTTCAAGTCTGGAATTATATTGATTGATCTACTGACTGTTGTCAAAATTTTGAAACCCTTAAGACCAAATCTATAATTTTACAACTTTCCATTCTCATTATTTTTGCTATAAAAATCATTATTTGCAGAATGATGGTTCACTTGCAAGAATATCCCCAGTGAATTACTGTTTCAGTTAAAACCCTGAATCCTTCTGTTGACTGCAAATTGATATAATTTGTAAGCACACTAAGGAAGAAAATTTGATTTGAAATAGGCATTTTTATCAAAATGGCTTGTCTTTTGTTTGAACAACTGTTTAACAACAGTGTATCTGGGCTTGTTTGATATATGGAAGTTAAAAGATTGTGTATTTGTGTGTATTTTACGTGAAGGTGTGTGTTCAATATGTAAACAAAGAAAATAGAAGCAGACAAAAACTTGTGTTTCTACTATCTAAAAAAATTCTTTTTATGGTGACTGTAGTGAAACAAAGTTCTGTGTCTCTTGGGTATATCTGTTTTCCTTTTTGGTTTAGAAGTAAGTTAGGATAACAATGGTCAAAATGGCCGAACTCAGATCAGCTTTGCAGTGAGTTGGAACGACCAATTAACTTACTTCGTGAGTAGGGCTGCCAAAACATGTCTGAATGATGTTGTTGGAAATTGGAAAAAGAGAAAGATTCTGTCCTTTACAGAAGTGGGGTCATAAAATTGCTAATGTGACCAGAAACCCTTTCCAGTTCCTTTAATACTTGTATCATGGGAAAATTAATTCCTTTTTTTTTTTTATCATTCTTATTATTTTATTTATTGGCTTTATTTCATTTTCCCACAGATACATACACTTAAGAATGAAGCATGGATGTGGTGACATGATTTATGGTGTAAGATGCTAATTTTTATTTAAATTAAAACTAAAATTTCTTTCATTTTTTTCAACTCCTATTTGTGAAGTACAACTAAACACCACTCAGTTCTGTGGTATCTTTTTAAAATGACAGTGTTTATATCCTTTATTTTAAATTTTACTCAAATTTTTTTTAAGCACAAAATTTAACACGCTGGCATTGATATGCATTTCAGTTTGGTAGTATATACAAAAGTGTGTTAAAAAGTTCTCATTGTGACTCACTATACAAAATTTCTAATAGTTTAAAACTAATCAAAGAAAAAAATAACCAATATGGTCAAGAAAACTTAACTTTCTTTAAACCATTTCACCCCAAGGAAAGTGATAATGCCACTAAGGTTACTGGGGGTGAAAGAGACTGAGAAGACTTTAGTGAGGAGAAAGGACAATAAAAGAACAGGTTTTATTT